TCTATGAAATACCCTTTTGGAATATAATCTTAATCTTCTACACCCCGCCTCAGCCCTCCTTACCACCACCTCTTTAGTTGTTGGCATTTGTTCTTTTCGTGATCCATGCATGCTAAACTATGACTCGTCTTTCAGGATGTGAAGGAGCATCTTGCTGCGTTGGCTGACAAGCTTGGTCCATCCCTGACAGATATAGATGTATGGAATCTTCGACCCACATCTCAACCATGGTTTTGAATGCTGTATCTGATAGTGTTGGCCTTTGTTATGACTGTGATACCATCGTCCACTGATTACACTTACCTTTGAGCTTTATGCCTGATGATTATTGCATAATGGTTTCCATTTTCTGTGGTTCAGCTCTCCGCAAAATCACCACAGACACCGTCCGATGCTGCTGATCAAGGTGGTGATTTATTCTAGGGGACACTTAACCCAAGCTTTGTAAATTTCCTCTAGCATTGTTTTCTTAATTTGTAGTACCCTGGTTTGTTAATAGATCGTTATTTTCTTCCTTGGTTTTATTGGATTTTCCTTGACTTGGTAATCTTGTAGTGCTACATTACAATTTGGAGTTGCTGATGTTAACTAAAACCTTGCTGCTTCATCACCTACCTCAGTATTATTGATGCTATTGCTATTTGGTTTTGAATAATGATTGAAATGAATATGAATTGGTGGAATATTTATTTGAAGACGATACTATGTGGAAGCATCCTTACGTTTTAAAGGACTTGGGACTTCAACTTTCCTGTGGACTTCGTTATAAGATTTTGATGCATATTGTTGGAGAAGTCCTCGACACATAAGTTCTTACATATATAGACATATTGAGTTGGTTGGATTACTCATTTTTATACGTAATTCAGAGTACTGACTGATATGTTTCCTATAATATGTTCATTTCTATCCTTACATCTGATCAGCTCATGCTTTCTTAGTGTTATCAATGGTGAATGGCAGAAAATAGCGGCAGGATGAAATACCACCTTAGAAGCCTGCGGTGCTTCCATAAACGTCATTGATAAATTTTCTGTAATGGCGGTTAGGCAGAAATCCGCCACGCCATACCAACATGGCAGAGTTTGGATTTTGATAAAACTGGACTTTTTTTTATTAATTCACGATTCATGATGCTATTGGTCATCTATGGACCTATATGAACATCAGTGCTGCTGACATCTCTGTCTTCAGTTCAATCATATAAGTTTAAGTTCCCTTGGCACATAGTTGCTAAAGGCCTCGGCAAGATGCGGTGAAAAGAATACCTCACTAGTGCTCGGGGAAGCAGCCAAAGCTGTCCTTTCACAAAGCCTCATATTTTTTAACGTGGTCTTTTTTGTTTTTTAAATGTTTTAACACTTTTTTAAATGTTTTAACACTTTTTGAAAGCGATAGGTTATTTAACCCTTTTGTTTTGTCAGATAAATGTAAACAGTTCTTTTCCCTATTTCACGTACACAAGCTAAACTCGTGAACTTTAGGGTTTAAGGAGAACATTGCTGTATTGATTAAGCCCTAGCTTTCCCAAAACCTTAATTTTTTTTTTTTTGGGACCAACACCTTAAGTTTACTTGGTAGTTTTTTGCCTTTTCGTCTTCTTTAAATTTTTGGGAAATATTCCTTTTTTTTTTTAATTTAAATTATTCTAGCTAACATTGTTGTTTTTATTAAACATTTCTTCCCCTGCAATTATTTTGATTAATTAATGAACTTCTCTGTTCGGGAAGGTAGGATTTTTTGCCCGTTTTCTACTGTTCTGTTAATTTGTATTGTAATGTTAAAAGTGTATTTTGTTAATATAATATAGTAAAGTTTGGTTTCTATATCGAATGCTTTAGGTAATGTCCTCGTCATTTTTACTTGGCTTGTGTTCATGAGGTGTTAGGCCATGAGCAGTTCACCCATTAGACAGATATTGGCATATGTTGACTTGTGCGCTTGCACATATTCATTTTCTTGTTACCAAAATGTGCTGTGACACTTCTTCTTCATTGTGCCTGTGGTCATAATTCAGGATATTCTTTCTTCTCTAGATTATGATCAGAAAGCAGAAAATGCTGTTGACTATGAAGATATAAATGAGGCATACGAAGGACCAGAGGTCCATGCTACGGAGGAGGACTTTCTGTTGCCCAAAAAAGATTTCTTTTCCAAAGAAGTTTCAGTATCTTCTATGGGGAATAAGACTTCTGTGTTCGACGATGACAATTATGATGATGAAGATGAAGATTTGGAAAACCAAAAGACGGCAGGGGAACCCAGTTCCGAAACCCAGTGTTTTCCTCCATCAGGTTACACTTTACTTCGCATCACTTCTATGAAGATATCAGTAATTTTGTTTTATAATTCTTGTTTTCTGTTGTTCTTTTCCACGGGAAGGATATTTCAACCTCTTACAGCTTGTATATACTGTTGAACACCTCAAGTCTAGGACATAAATTAGTTAGTTTGTTGTCATCTTTGTCCCTTCTGAGTCCCTGATGGGACTTGCCAGGTCACTGTCAATACTCAATAGCTAGTCTCTTTGGTGTTCTGATGGAGATAAGGGGAGAATGGGTTGATGGAGTTTGGATGACTGATGATGGATATCAAATGTCAGGTTGCAGAAGTGTGGTAGTGGGATGTTGGGTGCTAAACAGCAAAGTCTCCCTATGAGACTTTATAGACCTCATTTCACCAGAATTGTATGGATGGATAGCTAGTGGTCCTTGAGAATAGAAACTTGATCAATGAATGAGAAGAAAGAATATGAATACGTTGGAGAAGGAGGAAACAAAATGACAGAGCAAACTGAGAAAATAAGAGATATATAATTTATATATGCTTAAGCTGGATTTATAGTAATAGTCTGGGAACGGGACATTTTTCCTTGAAGATGTATCCAAAGCCGTGATTTCTAAGATTTGGCCGTTTATCATTAAAATTGGGTTATAGTTCCAAAAGAAGTATATGTCTCCTCAATAGCATGTGTGAGATCAATGCGTTGGATCGTAGTGGCAATGTGATAGTTTCTCGAAATCAGAAAAAGAAATGTTATTCTCAATCATTGAAATTCTTGAATAGCTTTATTTGGCCCAGTGAATATATGATGTGAGTCTTTCTAATACACTGTTGTTTCCTTTTCTCCTGGCAGACGAGAAGAATGAGAATCATTGTCATGAAATCCTTTCTCAAGAGGAAAGTCTTCAAGACAAGGTTCATGTGCTTAAAATGGAAAATTCTGATGGTATAGATTCAGAGGAGGTAAGTGAGTTTTCTTTTGCAATTTGTTACAAGTCATGGAAATCTTCTGATTTTGAGACGACACATTTTTTTCCTTTTGAAATATTTTAACTGTATTTTCGACAAAAATAGATCTTTTTTTTTTTACTATATTTCATTTTCATTTTATTTTGAGATGGAAATATAGAAGCTTAGTTGGGTTGAAAGAGAACAATGAGTGCCAGACGTGGTAGCTATTTCTGAACAGTTTATTGCATTGATGTATGATCTTGTATTTGGTGTTTGACCTACACTCATAATGAAGCAGGACGATTCAGATGCTTCAGGAGAGTCAACAGGTGGTGCTATTTCTTCAGGGCTTCCTGTTCTTTATGTAGAGGATGGAAAGGAAATATTGCGATTTTCTGAAATATTTGGTGTTCAAGAGCCCTTGAGAAAGGGAAGGAAAAGAGACTGCCGATACTTAATGGCTAGAGGTGTGTATTGATTGGCTCAGTTTTGCAATTATTCTTCAGTAGTTGCATTGTTACCAGTACAACACTATATGAAGTGTGTGAAACAATATTTTAGGCTGTTCTTTGTTGTGGTGTAGATATCTTTCCCTCTTTGGTATAAATGTCCGTTCAAGTTCTCCAGCTCTCACATCAGATATATATCTAGTTTATAGCATATTGGCTTTCTAAAATAAGCTTTTCTGATTTTCCATTATGATAGAGAAATACATGTCGATAGATGCCTCTGAAATTTTTGAGGAAGATGAAGAGGAGTTTATGAAGGCACCATGCCAAGATTGTTCCTGGATGAAGCAATTTCAGAAAAAAACTGATGTTTTGACAGTGGGTGTTGAAAGCGACTCAAAGAAACCTGGGATAGTTTTAGAATCAGGAAAGTTGTCTTTGGAAGCTGATGACAGTAGGAAGGATACCTGTATTTGTTCTGAACCAATGAAAGATGACTTGTGGGTGTCCAAATTTAACGAATGTAACCCACTGTTTTTGCCCAAGTTCTATCCTATTGATCAGGAAGATTGGGAAGATAAAATTGTTTGGGATAATTCTCCATCTTCGTCAACTGAAAATGTGGTGGAGAGCATTGAACTCTCTGGTCCTGATTCTGACACACCTTGTGATAAGGAAAGGGATTTGAAGGCTGAAACACACTCCACTGAACCAGAAATTCAAAACGGATCTTGTGGGAAGAATGACACCTCATTTCTAAATAGTTGTTCTATTCTGGTGGAGCCTTTTGGTTGGAACGAAGAATCTCAGTCTGCAAACGTTACAATCTCTGGAGGTAGAAGTCATCCACAAATCCTAAGGTTAGAGTCTCAATTAGAGAAGTACACTGCAGACTTCAGAGGTGTGAAAGATGATGCTAGTGAAACAAAACTTCGTACAGATGCTATACAACGTTTTAGTGAGCTTACCGTGCAGAATAGAGATATAGTGGAAGGATCTTGGTTGGATAACATTGTCTGGGAACCAGGTCAGCCTGTTGCCAAACCAAAGCTAATTTATGATCTCCAGGACCAGCAGATGCTTTTTGAAATTTCAGATATGGAAGATGCTAAATATATACAGCTTCATGCGGGGGCTATGATTGTAGCCCGCTCTCTAGATCCGAGTGGTGCGGATTCAGTCGAGCTGCACAATCATGGGATGGTATCAGCTGGACGATTCAATATCTCTAATGACAAGTTCTATTCAAACAGAAAATCCTCTCAGCAACTGAGGCCTCATTCTAAAAAGCGTACTGGTCATGGGCTAAAAGTTTTGCATTCAGTACCCGCACTTAAGCTGCAGACTATGAAAGCTAAGTTAAGCAAGTAAGTTGTCCGCTGGTGTCTTTGCTTTTCTTTTCTTGCACTTTCCTTTGGATGCCTTAATGATGCACTGCTGTGTACATGAAATCCATAGAGGTTTTTGTTCAATCTTACTGGAATCTGGTCATCAACTTGCATGAGGCCAGTGCTGAAATGGATGTGCCTATGTAATGCCTTTTTATTTGAAAAGCAATGCAATAGTTTTTACCAAGGTAAATAGGCCATTTCTTCTATGTCCCTTGCATGTTAGAATATGGGCCTTAGTTTTCATGTATAGTGAGAAGGTTCCATTGTTTTTTATTTGATTGTTTTTGCAACCACAAGAGCCCAAACAAGATGACCAGGTTATTCTTGTGCCGCCTTCTATTTTCATCATATCCTCCTGGCCTTTCTATTAACCAAACTCAATTTTTTGAAATTGCTTTTCTGTCCTATTTGTCGTTTCAACCTCTTGTAAATTGATTATATGATTTCTTCCGATGGAAACGAAAAAAAAGAATATTTGTTTCGGGACATGAAATCATAGTAGGCTCTGTATAGAGAGCTTCTGTGGAAGATGGAAGTTATTACATATTCTTCCTCCTTTAGTTAATTCCTCTTCAAAATGATTAGTGTGCTATTTTGGCTCATGTGCATAAAATGATATTTTGCAGTTTTAATTAATGCTTAGTAGCGTCTTAACTGTTACAGCCTAAAGTCTAGGAATGTGGCTTTCTGCTTTGTAGTTTATTAGTTTTGCTTGTTCATCATGCCTCTAGTTTTTTTATAGATCAATTTTCCCTTTTCTTTCTGTTAATTTTGAAGCAATTGCTCCGTTGCAGCAAAGATGTTGCTAACTTTCACCGGCCAAAAGCTTTATGGTATCCACATGATATTGAGGTTCCATTTAAGGAGCATGGGAAACTAGCTTTGCATGGCCCAATAAAAATCATTATGAAGAGTTTAGGTGGAAAAGGAAGTAAACTTCACGTGGATGCCGAAGAAACCATAGCTTCTGTGAAGGCAAAAGCCTCAAAAAAATTAGGTGGGTTGTGTTTCATGTTACAACACTGTCCACTTTTTGTGTGTGTTGACAGGATCATTCTGACATTATAGACAATTATTACGGACACCGCATATGTTTATGCCGCCACTATATTTATTTTGAAATTCTTCTTTCAACTGTAGATTTCAGACTATCAGAGCCAGTTAAGATCTTTTATTCTGGAAGGGAGCTTGAGGACAACAAGTCTGTTGCTGAACAAAATGTTCAGGCAAACTCGGTGTTGCACCTTATTCGCACCAAAATACATCTTTTACCCCGAGCTCAAAAGCTTCCTAGTGGGAACAAGTCTCTTCGTCCTCCAGGGGCTTTTAAGAAGAAATCTGATCTCTCAGTAAAAGATGGACATGTTTTCTTAATGGAGTAAGTTATCAATATGTTTCGTCATTGTTCATGCGTGTTTTGTACTTAGTCATCTCTAATGTCTGTACTTATCAGTGTTTGAACCATTGTTTTCTCACGTGTCTCCACAGTTTTCTACACAGAGCTGCATGTTAATAGTATATCTACCTTTTACCAGTGGCAATCACCTATTAAAAGTGGCATAATTGACAAGATTGGTGTTTTATTTGGACGCATTACGACTGTTACACTTCAGTTATATGGTTAAATTCATCAATCCTTGTAGATCCATGACAAATTTGGCCAATTGTTTTGGAGTCTTTTAATTTTTAACACACATTACCTTTTTATGAAAATAACATCAACTAGACTCTGTACCTATAACTGATGGTCTCTATGTAAATTATACAATTCAGGTATTGTGAAGAAAGACCATTACTTCTGGGCAATCCTGGAATGGGTGCTAGACTCTGTACTTATTATCAAAAAATGGCGCCTGGTGATCAAACAGGGAACTTGCTGCGAAATGGAAACAGTGGTTTGGGGAGTGTTGTCGTTCTCGATCCTGCTGATAAATCCCCTTTTCTTGGAGACATAAAACCTGGTTCCAACCAATCATGCCTTGAAACTAACATGTATAGAGCACCCATATTTCAGCAAAAAGTCGCGTCAACCGATTATTTACTTGTGAGGTCATCAAAAGGCAAGCTATCCATCAGACGCATTGATAGAATTGATGTTGTTGGACAGCAGGTTAGACGTTCTTATTTTATTTTTCCACTTGTTTAATCAGCATGAGGTGTGAGCATTTCAACAAGTCTGATTTGCTAGTGAAGTTGCTTCATCATATAACATCTGCCATGCATAAGCAAATGCTCTATGCTATCAAACAATCAGGAAATGTTTTCTCACTTGTCCTTGTTGACGAATAGGATTAACAAGGGATATTTCTTTCTGGATTGTTATGCGGTGTTCCACGATTTCTTGTTTTCTGTTTAGTATGCATTGAAAACTGAATGTTGATCTTAGTATAGTCTAAGTTAGACATCACATCCTATGACCTGAGCCTGGTATGAGAATAGTGGGCAAATATTTTAATCTGGAATGATGTCTAGAATAGTAGAAATTAATATGTTGAGAATAAGATTAGGTTTTTCAGCTGTAATTTATAGGTTTGTGTTAAGTGTCCTTGGATGTTCTCCAAGTTAACCGAGTTTATTCTCAAGGGTACCTTTCTCCAACTTATACATTTTCTGTGATAACTTAATGTTCAAACTTTTGAATTATTGGCACGGGTTTTCTGCTTGAAGTTTGGAGAGTCTGGATTAAGTAGGACAAGCGCCCTTTTCAGTGGATTGACTCTCCGACATTGTCTATTATATTATGGTGGACATAAAGTATCTTAATATTCTTCTGCGACTTCCGAACTTCGAATTACTGTAAATAATCCTTTACAAGGATTCCGAAGCATTTTTGCCACGCATTATTACTTTGCTCTCATTATTATTTTATATGTCCAATGCTCATCTTACAATGTTATCCATATCTATCCTACCGTAACTCCCACTCCCTATCCTTTTCAATTATCTTCTATAGGAGCCACACATAGAGGTAATGACTCCTGGATCCAAGGGTGTTCAGTTATATATCATGAACAGGCTATTGGTATACATGTATAGAGAGTTCCGTGCAGCTGAAAAACGCGGTGTACGTCCTTCTATACGTACGGATGAGTTATTTTCTTTGTTTCCAAGCTTGTCTGAAGCATTTCTTCGGAAGAGGTTGAAAAATTGTGCTGAATTGCAGGTATTGCTTTTACAATTAATTTCTGTTGCCTAACATGTGTGAAGAGAACCTTCAAATGCATGTATTTGTGTTTATTTAACTTTTTCCTTTTCTTTCATGAATCTGCATGTTCCAAATAAACACTCTTTTTCATGTGCTACCAGAGAGGACCCAATGGACATTTTCTTTGGGTTATGAGGCGCAATTTTCGCATTCCTTCAGAGGAAGAACTAAGAAGGATGGTGACACCTGAAAATGTGAGCATTTACATGGATTTATCCGCTTGGTACATTTGGAGGATTTATATGATATAAGATAGAGCTTGTATCTGAAGTTCTGAACTCTTGATTTAGTTTTATTTTACATTTTTGGATAACGGGAGGTTTTTCAGGTGATAAGTATAGTCAGCATTTTGTTTCTAATATTATTTGTTCAATAAGAAGTGAAACACTGACGATCATTTTTGCAAGAATCATCAAACAAAAGAGAGATGAGACAAGATGATATGCTACCAAAGCCGTTATGTATTTCTATGTATCTTCAATTATTTTGGGCTTCTATATTAGGTTGGAAATGCTCTAGAAGAATTCCAGTATAAAGTAGTGACTTGAAAATGTCTTCGCTTCTCAATGGATTAATAATGTGCTATGAAGACGTTTGAACAAAGACAACAAATGTAATAAACGTTCACCTTCTGGGCCCATTTTAGTTTTCTCGAAATGATAAATGTAATAAATACTCGGCATTCGTTAAAGTATTATGTTAGACCTACCCAATTATACCTCCATCTGATCTTCCCTTACCGTAGATCCGGATTCTTTCATGGGTTGATATAGCATGCTGTTGGGTGATGGGAAAAGGAAATTTGATATTGAAATTCAGTTATCTATGGAAAATATTGGTCTGTACCCTAAAGAATAATTTGAATTCTATTAATGTCATGCCATGTTGTGGTGCCGTGAGATTTTGTTATCTTACATTTTCCCATTTTGCATTAGGTATGTGCCTATGAGAGCATGCTAGCTGGTATGTACAGGCTTAAACGATTGGGAATTACAAGGCTGACTAATCCGTCAGGCCTTGCACCTGCAATGAATCAGCTTCCCGATGAAGCTATCGCTTTAGCTGCCGCCTCACATATTGAGAGAGAGCTTCAGATAACACCATGGAACTTGAGTAGTAATTTTGTTTCCTGTACAAATCAGGCAAGCAATTTCTCAATAATTTAATCTTGTGCTTAATGAAGATTACCTGTCTTGTTTTTTCCTCAATTGTGTTTTACGAAATCATGTTTATTAGTTATTACCATTTGTAATGATTTCTATCTGGTCGGATTGGCCTTGGTTGTCAGTAACCTTGTTTATGCACCTAATTGAGCATTCTTCTTCTTATGTATTTAGGTAAGAGAAAAAGAATCTGCAAAATTTGTTATTAGAGAAAGTTTCCTTGTAGTCCTTTTAACAATATTAGAACTCCCTGTGCACGTTGATGCAGCAATTAGAAGTGAAATGGATAATAGATTTGTTCCCTGTCTTATTCAGAATAGAGAAAATATCGAACGTCTTGAAATTACTGGCGTGGGTGACCCTACGGGAAGGGGCCTCGGTTTCAGTTATGTCCGTGCAACTCCCAAGGCTCCAATCTCAAATTCTGTGGTTAAAAAGAAAGCAGTTGTTGGTAAAGGAACAACTGTGACTGGAACTGATGCTGATCTACGTAGATTGAGCATGGAAGCTGCAAAAGAGGTGTGTTCTTTTTTGTGCTTAAAATCTGAAATTTATCCAGTAAAATATGAAAAAAAATATCAAAATCATACTCATTTTGCGTTCTCTGTTTTGCAAGCAGCTTCTCCTCAAGTTTAATGTTTCAGAGGAGCAGATTGAAAAACTGACCCGATGGCACCGGATTGCTTTAATCCGCAAGCTGTCAAGCGAGCAAGCCGCATCAGGTGTGAAGGTTGATCCAACAACGGTTAGCAAGTTTGCTCGCGGACAAAGGATGTCCTTCTTGCAACTGCAGCAGCAGACGAGAGAAAAATGTCAGGAAATATGGGATCGGCAAGTGCAGAGCCTCTGTGCTGGTGACGGGGAAGAGAATGAGAGCGAGTCTGAGGCTAATAGCGACTTGGATTCGTTTGCCGGTGATTTGGAGAATCTTCTAGATGCGGAAGAATGTGAGGAGGGTGAAGAAGACAATTATGAGTCTAAGCGTGATGGCGTGGATGGTGTCAGGGGGCTTAAAATGAGAAGGCGCCCGTTTCAAACTCGAGCAGAAGAAGAAATTGAAGACGAGGCGGCCGAAGCAGCGGAGTTGTGCAGGATGCTTATGGATGGTATGATAGTTTTAAATGTATTTAGAATGAATATAGAAATGATAGCTCTTTCCTTTTTCTTTTTTTCATTGTAACAGTTCCATGTGCTTGAATTATATTTATTATGAGGCTAAAAGAGTTCGTTTGATCCAATAGGTTTTAGAGAAGAATTTGCCAGATGCAGTCTGGCTCTATTCAGGCTTCATATTAGTTTGACTTGGATCATAAATGGTGTGCATTTGAAATATATGTTTTTGCATTCTCTTAACAGATTCTGATGATGAACACTGTTTCTGTAGATGACGAAGCTGAGAAAAAAAAGAAGAAGAAATCAAAAGCAGTACAGCAAGTAGACCATGTCTTCAAGCCAAAGTTTGGTCCTGAAAATACTGATATAATGAAGAAAAGCAATGCTGTAGTGAAGCGAACCATGCAACCTGAGGAGGGACCCCTTGTTGTATTCACAGAGCAAGTTACTAATGATCAAAAGGAGGTCTACGCTTTGACTTTTTATCTGTATTTTTAATATGTTTGACTGATGAACAGCAGGTCACATTTATTGTGTTTGACCTTTACAAATATTTTTCAGGTGCAGGGAGAAAGCTTTTTTGCTAGAAAGCCCCTTCTGGGTAAATTCAAAGCCAAGAAGAAGACCGAGATTGATCAGATGGGGTTGCTAAACAAAAAGGTTAAAATAGTGGCAGATGGGATGAATGTAAGTTTGCCTCCCTTACTGAAATTTTTGTTCAATCAGGATCCAACTGAAATGTATTTGGATTTGTACATCTATGACAAATCATACTTTAAATAGCCAATTCTAACATTTGCTGCGCTGAACATAGGTGATCAAGGAAAAGAAGTCGGCAAGAGACACTTTCGTCTGTGGAGCTTGTGGTCAGGTACAACTTCAATTCTGAAAAAAATACAAACGGTATAGTTTACTCCAAAACCACTGAATGTAATTTCTCCTCTTTACAACCTCAGCTTGGCCACATGAGGACCAACAAGAACTGCCCCAGGTACGGGGAAGACCCCGAGGCACGAGCTGAAAGCACAGATCTTGACAGGTTATTATCAGGCAGACCTAATTTCTTGGATCAAGCCGATCAAGGCCAGCCGAGACACCTTGCGAAGAAAATTATGCCCAAGATCACAAACATCGAGCCACCTGAAGACGAAATCAGACCTACTTCCAAGGCGAAATTTCTCAAGGTGAAATGTGGTGCGGCCGACAAGCTTCCGGACAAACACACCCCCACAACTTCTCAGACCTCCGAGCGGCCAATCACGCCAGACCCCGAAAAGTCTGCCATGAAAGTTAACAAAATAATCTTTTCCAACAAGACAAAACTTGAGGACCCGCCCCCAGGAGAAAACCCTAAGCCCGCTGTCATAATAAGGCCACCGGCGGAGGCCGAGCGGGACCCGCCCCGGAAAAAGATTATTATCAAGCAGCCGAAGGAGATCATCAATCTGGATGATAACAGCCAGGATGGGAGCTTTGGGTTTGAGTACAAGAAGACGAAGAAAATGATCGAGCTTTCGGGTTTGGACAGGCGGCTCGAGAATGAAGGCAAGCAGTATTTTGAGGAGTCATCTAGAGTGAGAGAGAACCACCAGTGGGCGGAGGGGAGGAGAAATTTTGAGGTACGGGTGGAAGATAGAAACAGGAGGGTGGAGAAAATGAGGTTGATTGATGAGCAACCGGCTTATGATCTGTTGAGATACGAGGAGTCGATAAGAAGGGAGAGAGAAGAGGAGCAAAGGGCAAAGGCAAAGAAGAAAAAGAAGAGGAAGCCCGAAATAAAGGATGACTACTTGGACGATTTTCCTATCAGGAGAAATGACAGAAGGATGCATGAAAGAGAGAGGGTAATTCGGAGGAGGACAGAGGTCGAGTATGCAAAACATGCTCCTGACTATGGCCTGGCTTCAAAGAGGCGTAGAGGAGGAGAGGTTAGTTTTTTTGTTGAATTAGTAGTGTTTCTTTCAAATGTTGATGTTTTCGTATAGTTTATATCGGTTCTTGTTAACTAATTATGGTTTGCAAAAATCACAAAGCTATCCTTGGAGTGTGAACTATTTACAGATCCCAAACAACTTCGCAAAGTTGAAAATGTTGTATTGAGGTATTAAAAGCGCTCCCCATGTTTGAAATTTATAGAATGGGGGAACAAATTTAAGATATTAGTATATTTTCAAATGATAAAATTGGTCTTTTGAAAGTAGAGTAAAATTCATAGGTACTTGTTTCTAATAAACGGTTAAAACTCATGAAGATTGCAGTTGGAGTCGTCCATTCACTATATGTTATGCTTGCAAGTGGCCTTTAAGAATAAAAAGAGAAACTCGGCACTTTACATTAGGACAAACAAAAAATTCTTTGAGTTGGGTTAACTTGCACATCCTTTATGAGGCTATTAACAAAATTCTGATTTTTTTGTCCATTTTACCGTTGACGCTGAGCATCTTTTTACTGCCGTCAACGTTCCATAAAACGTGGAGAGTTTTTATCTCCATTTCCTCGTGGAAAATACTTTATGGTAAAATGCAGTAAGTGAGGAAAAAAGAAAAGAAAAATACTTGCGCGAAATAATTTTAATTACATCACACAGGTCGGCTTGTCAAACCTCCTAGAAAGCATTGTAGAGACACTTAGGGAAAGGACCGAGATATCCTACCTTTTCCTAAAACCAGTAACCAGAAAGGAAGCCCCCGATTATCTGGACATCATCAGCCGTCCTATGGATTTGTCGACCATACGGGACAAGGTGAGGAGGATGGAGTACAAGAACCGTGATGACTTTAGGCATGACGTGTGTCAAATAGTGTTCAACGCGCATAAATACAATGACAGGAAAAATCCGGGTATTCCGCCTCTTGCCGACCAGCTTTTGGAGCTTTGTGACTTCTTGTTAGAACAATACGATGATGCCTTGGCAGAAGCTGAAGCTGGGATCGAATAAAAAACGGTTAGTTAAAAAAAGACAGTTCTCACTTGCCCCCTTCATTGTCTTTTAGGAGAAAGAGGCTGTGAATCTTTTTTTATTTTTATTAAATAGGTTAGGCCAGAAAAGTTACCTCCTGTTTTAGTAAGATGCGTATTTTTGGGGTTTGTATATTTTACGACAGCATGTCGATCAGGTTTTGTACATGTAACATATTGTATAGTATTATTGTTTGTTGGTATAGTAGCTTTTGAATGTGTCCAAGTTGCAGTTTTTTGGTATTTGCTTATTTTTTTCCCCATTTGCACGGATTCTTAGCATCGACTAATTTCCGAGTATTATTAGCTGTGGCCTGTGTGAGGATTCCAGATCAATATTGTGTGTTTTCTTCATTAATGTTTCATGGTTAATTAATTTGAATGTCTGTGTTTCCCTGTTAAAATATCGACACAATAAGGGTACAACTCGACTTTTGATAACCTGGAGGTCGAGAGCAAGGCCATTGTTCGGTTAGTGTGCTGGAGCTATAAGCTGGAGAGGTATATCGACCTGATTTGAGTATTTGAGTATGCTTGGGATGATGAGTTATGGAGGTAATATGTTTATGTAATGAGTTCTAAAATTTGCAGATTTGTTTTTATGGGTCCTGTTGGAGAAGATGACTAAAGATGTGCATATAATAATTAGAATAATGCTCTCCTACTCACGGTGTCACATGTTAATATGTCCACCGTTTATGTGGCATGCACACATTGGCGATGCTATCATTTAAGTTATGGAAGACCGAGATCGTGTGAAGTCCCTAATTTATTTGATGGGTTGCATCACATTGGTATGGTGGAACTTATTTCAAGTTGAAATAGATATCGAGATATAAAGACAAAATTTTAGGAAAAAAATGCTTGTAATATGTCTTTGTTGTTATATAAAAATTTATCTAACGAGCCAAAACACAAAGTCGTTTATTTTACTGATTTAATAAATATTATCATGATAATGTATAAACAGACTTTAATAGTGTAAGAAAAACTATATAAATATAAATTTATCGATTCTTTCAACTCAGGTAAACAAAATGATAAAAATATAAAATATCTAAAAAAAACCGTGTATCCGATATTTTAACTTGTATTTTTTTGGGTATAATCAGTATATTTTTTTATATGAAATTGGTATTAAACAGTATTTTGTCAAAAATAGTACTTAGATGGTTAGCATATATTAAAACATGATGTTTATAAATCAAATTATTTACAGTTTTTGATAATAATTAAACATGATGTTTACTAATTAAATTATTTATAGTTTATGATAAAATTATCCAGGTTGGTGAAAATGCACTCTGGAGAAAATATTGATATTGATAGATCTAAATGTATATATTACAAATTATTATTTGAATTTGGAAAGATCTATTTAATAGAATACCTGTTTGATAGGATTTCACTGTGTCTTTTATTACTTTATTATTTATTAATTTGAATTTGGAAAGATCTATCTGTTTGATAGGATTTCATTGTCTCCGTTTATTACTTTATTATTTATTTTATTTAGATAGAAGCCAATCTTTCTAATTTGAAATAATTAATCGTATATATCGTAATTAAAATTTTATTTTTCTTTTGTTTTCAAATGATCTTTTATTGGTGTGTTAGATATGTTTTATGCTTGAAATATTTCTTAAAAAAAAGTGTTACATATGTTTTGTTGATATGTTTTATCCAATGAATTTAGTTAGTCTTTTAAAACTAATTTATCATTTTATTTTGTTTATTTGTCTTCTAAAAACTACTTTATTATTTTATTTTCTTTATTCTAAAAATATTTATATGCAAGAATGAAAGTATGCATTGTAGATGAAAATCAACAATTGTTATTAGTTCGTGGACAGTGCTTTCATATGAAATCACAATCCAATTGTTTTACCATGTGGCAGAAAATTTTAATGTTTTCTGGCAAAAAATTTTAATGTTGACGCGACGTTGAGGCATCGGAGATGCTCTTAGTTTCTTGAAAACTTGATACCAAAATTATATGAATTGCATTGAAAGATACAAACCAGAGAGAATAGAGAGCACAACCGTTTAGATGAATGAAGCTAAAGATAAAAACTTCACTAGCAAAATACCAACACCACAAACAACATTAGATTTCACTACACAAATACAACAACACAAAGTGCCTTTTTCATTCCTTTTCTTCTTCTTCAGCTATTTATTCGAATCACATTACAACACACAAATAACATAAGAAAACACACACACACACACACACACACACACACACACACACTCTTCTCATCAACACACTCCAGAAGAACTAAGCCCTCTCAAATATAATCCTCCAAAAAA